CTACAAGGGAAAAGTACTTCACTGATGAGAAAAACGCTTAGATCATTTAAATCAGTTGCAATTATTGTACAATCCATAGTTGGGTTTCACAACGTTTTTTCTTCAATACGGTTCACGAAAATACTTTCTTGCGCGCGAAAAGCAGTAATGGTTGTCTTTTAACAGAATCAACGGATCCTTTCATTCTTTTTGTTGTAATATATAAGTAAAGTTATCCAGTTCGTCTAGTTTAAGTTTGAAAATGACGTAATAAATAGGCCGAAATATTACAGATTAAAATAAAACTATATAAAAAAGCGAATTATTCGTCATTCAAGTAATAAACAACAAATTGCTACAAAGTTGCAATAAGTACAGTTATTGAAGGTGTTGAACACTTAACCCAAGAAAATATCAATAGCGGCTAGCCGATGAAACTTTTCACAATATCCTCAAACTTATGACTAGATACTTTCATGCAATTTCTAAAGAACATTTTTAATAACTGTGGGGTATAACTGCACGATCTACGATAGAAGAACATGGATTTTGAGATGTCCTCCGATCGTATGTCATATAGGTATAAAATGTCAACTTTAATTATGAAAGATAATTATTTCTTATCTTTATTTTGACATTATACAGATGGTACCATTTTCTTAAAAAAAAGAGTTCAGAAAAGAAAATATTTTAATTTTGAAGTTTGTGTTATTAAGACAGAAGTTTAAAGAAAATAATAAACGGTTATTGATTCACGTAAAAACCTTCTCGATTTTGTGGAAAATCTTAAGCGTCACCGAACCATGTCAAACTATTTTTTCTTTAGACAGCCATTTCAATCGTTTTATCTGAAAAGATATAAAGAGAGTTCGAGTACAAAGTTTTAATCTTATTTACAATGGAAAATATAAAGTTTTTACATTGAGGAACAGATAGGTCATTTAAAATGTTGCTTTTGAGATGGTTGATCTAGGTTAACGAAATGCATCGACTACATCAGTGATGTACTTTGATATTTGATGATATGTTAAATCAAAAATACTACCATATCATCAGATGTGGTATTGAGTTTTATCTTGATTACCAAACATGCAGCATTGCTTTTCTTTCCATCTCATCATTTTGTATGCGACATATACTGTAAAAAAGTATACTCTCGTAAGCGGTATATTTTTGTATAATAAATCGTAGACAAATTTTTGACAATGACATATTGTATGTGTCGTCCTTCTAGGCATCATCAAGTGTCTTCTGAAATATCCAGTCCATCATATAAAGATATAAAACTGTGAAAGTACATCGTAGCATAAATCTTGTTTATTAGAATTGATTGATAAGAAAATATATCGTTAGTATGTATTATCTAGTTTTTTTTACGGTTTAACTCGAAATATAACATGTAGAATCACAATACTTCGACCATTGTTCACAATTTTTAACGAAGATTCGTATAAACTACTTGAAGTCAAGACATTCAGTAGGCGTAGATATTTTCCTATCGAGATTGAATCGTAAAGAGTCGTACGTATATCATATTGAATGTTTTATATACGTCCATTGCAAACCGCTTGATTAGACATTCATAATAAATATGTTCTGAGTATTAATAGAGTATATGACAAAACTTATGAATAAAATACTAGAATTTTGGATGATCTATCGAATAAAACCAATCAAATTGCATTAGGTAACAAGCACAGTTTCAATTGTCTCTATTTCAATACCGACACTATTATTCGTTGGTACATATTTGAAAATCGACACATCTTGTTTTGTAATAAAATCAAGTCCAAATTCTCCTAGTAATAAGTAAATATTTTTGATTTGGATCAATTAGTTATGAGAATGTTAGATTTTATTTTAGTTTACTAAACTTTTGTTTATGTTGTACGGTACATGGTACCATGATAAACAAGAGTTGGTCTGAGTCATTTCAGTGTACTTATGGTATTTAACGTGAATGTTGTGATAATTTAACCTGATTATTTCATATAAATGAATAGCAAAAATAAAAGAGTATATGTTACAAAAAAAATTTAATTTTGGTTATTCGCAAAGACTTTCCTAGTGTCAATATTTCGTTAAATTTAGTTAACTTTAATAAATACGAAAAAAAGAATTTTTTTATAACCCATCATACGTGATCTCTTAGTTAAAATCTCATAAATTGAGAATTATTTTAACAACTAGCAAATGAAAAAAGAAAAAAGAAAAAAGAAAAATGAACTTTAATATTCGTCTATAATCAATATAAAATCAATCAAACATAACGAAGTATAAATGAGTGTATGTAGAAAGATTGAGATTACCATTACATTGCATAACTTTATGCTAATGACATATAATGAGAATAAAAGTGAGAATAACCATCTGACATCTTGTCGATTAACTGTAACATACCTATATATATATATATATTTAAAAATCATCAAATTCATTTGAATATAGGGTAAATGTTAAATTTTGTAATGGTTTTTCATCATAACGTTCATAATGATCACGATCAGGTTTTGGCATATAGGGTGCTTTTACTTTTTTCTCAAAAATATTAATCCAATTAATATTGGTAAACCATTTATGAAATTTAATATCTTTTGTACCATTTTTTAAATTACCAAAACGTTTTGTTAAATCCGATTGTAATAAATTTCGAATTAAATCTTTTAGATCCGATGTAAAATGACTAGGAAATTTAAATCTACCTTGTACAATTTTTTCATAAATTTGAATTGGTTGATCAGCATAAAATGGTGGAAAACCCTAATTAATAAATAATAATAAAAAGAAATAATTTTTTTATTTAAAATAAATATTTTATACTTACAGCTGCCATTTCATATATGAGTACACCTAGAGAGAAAAGATAATACGAGTAGATTATAAACCTAATGTTCAAGAAGATATATGGATAACATACCGAGTGCCCAATAATCAACTGCTTTATTATATCCTCGAGATAAAATAATTTCTGGAGCAATATACTAAATAAAAATATAAAATCTTTTTTTATTTTTGTCTATTTAGTAAAAAAACAAAAAAAAAGTGAAATTTTTATTATTACTTCTGGTGTTCCACAAAGGGTGTACGTTCTATCGCGTACTAATTTAGCAAAACCAAAATCGGTAATTTTTAAGTAACCATCACTGCCAAATAAAATATTTTCCGGCTTTAAATCACGATATATTATTCCTATAAAGTGAAATAAAAAATGTTAAAACAAGTTAGAGGTAAATAGAGGTATCATTTACACTTCTATTCTTTCTTAAGTGTAAAAATTACTTTACGGGAGTGAAAGTAAATAAAAATTGTTTTTCTTTAATCTACTTTAATGTAATAAATTTATTGTTCTGGTTTACTGGGTAAAAGCAAGAAAAAATGTCATCCTTAGAAGGAGAAAAATAAGCAGTACTGTCTGACTGCTGAAGAATGTCTGTAACAGGTATATTAACCTTTTAAATGACAAAAATATGATTGAAGTTCACATAAGAGAGACAGTAAATGAGACTTTTCTCATCCTCCTATCCAAAACTACTTAACGTAGAAAAATAAAATATCTTTTATTACATCATCATTTTTCTAGTTTATGATTCCTCCCTCCCCCATCCCACATGTCAGAAATCAACTGTTTTTTCTAAAACATCGAAATTGCAACAAATACATGGTCAGATAGTCTGGTTTTTGTCTTCTTCCAGAATCTGTATCAAAATTGACTAGCATCAAAAGTATTTAGTGGTTTTTGAAAAAAAATTTTCCTTGAAAAAAAAAACGTTTTTAACATTTATTACTTTTTCTCCGGGTAAAATACTTTTAAAAGTTTTTTTCGAATGAGTTAATCGCTTTCTACAAAGATTTCTCTTCAAAATGAGACGTTTTTCGACTCTCCATGATGATATAGTTAAAAGTTATTAGAGTTTAACAAAAAGTAGCAAATGCGTCTAGTATTTTCTTTCCTTCTATTTTATGAATAGATTTTTGCGCAGATGGCGTTGACACTTCTCAAACATTTTCATTATAGTTGATAAAGTCCGATCTTTGATTTTTAATAAAACAGTTTTTTCTGAAAAAACTTCAAAGGAATTTTTCAAGTTTTTGAAAAAAAATTCAGCTCTGTCAAACTGACAAAGATCAGAATAGTATTAGAATCTATAATACTCTAAAACCTTAAATTTGATCCTCTTTATTAGGCCACTATTCGACATGCACACACGCATTTTTCGATTATTTTGTCGGATAGAAATTCTATAGGATTTCTACAGAATTTTATCCAAGAATTTTTCCATCTGGGTTGGTACGAATCTTAACTACGATGGAAGAAATCGATTCTATTTTTGTTCTTTTTTGTATTCGAGAAAAATTAATAACTTAATAATGTATCTATATGTTCGTTATTCGTTAGCACTATGTAGAGTAAAAAAATTTGATCTTCATCTAATTGATTCTTACTGAAAAATAAATCTTTTCTAATACTTTATAACTAATGAATAATGGATGATCTTCTAAACTATTTTTATATCTAATATATTTCAGTAAATCACACAATCTACGCTTTAGTCACACCTTATGAACAAATAAGAGATAATTCATAGTGGAAAAAGTACTTTCATAGATATTCTAAAGTTTTCTAATCTAATCTTATTTTTTTTTTTGTTAATAAAATATATTTTAAAGTATATATTACCCAAAAAGTGTAAATATTCAAAAGCTAATGCAACTTGAGCAGCATAAAATCTTGTCTGATCTTCTGGATATTTGCCAACACTTCTAAAAAATATTTATATAATTGTAAGATAAAAAATTTACTTTAAATGTGTAAACAATGATTTACCTTAGATGTGTAAACATTTCTCCACCGGATGCAAATTCTAGTACAATATATAAATGTGAATTATCTTTAAATGAATAGGCTAAATTAACAATAAATGGAAATTTAATTGCTTGTAATATTCGTTTTTCTGCCAATGTATGTTCAACTTGTTTTAATTTAACAATCGTTTCTTTTTCCATTATTTTTAATGCATAATTTGTTTGATTATGTGATACGACCATAACACGACCAAATGAACCTATAGAAAAAGAAAAATTTTATCAAATAAATTATAATAAAATTTAAAACAATTTTTTTTTTTGAATAATATATACCTGTTCCAACTGTTCTATTTAAAGTAAAATCTTCTAGTTTAGCTGTTTGTTTTGATGGTGTATTATATTTTTGATCAAATTCTTGTTTAGCATGTTCGAGAAATGATGTTACTTGTGCATCTATTTGAGCTTGCATGGCGGTTGTTGTGGGACTTGTTGTAGACGAAGTTGAAGTTGACGATGATTGAACACCACCCATTTTTTAATTAGAAAATAAAAATAATTATTTAATCTAGAAAATAGATAATAAGATGATTATTCATCTAGAGAATGTATATAAGTTACCTATTTCTTGTTTTTTTATATTTTTTTCTCCTATTGTATACATACACCTAGTATAGGACGGATATATACAAGAGTTTACTTTTATTATTTCATCCGGTTATTCTATTTTTTTCATCATTAAGATGTATAGTACTAGTAAATTTTTATAGTAAAATATACTATACAGATTGAAGTGGTTTGTTGAGATATAATCCGTTGATTGTACAAACTCTTATCAAGAATGCCTCAATGGAATAGAAAAAAAACTGAAAGATTAATTTTAGCGGAAGGATGTCCTTCAGTTAACAAATATTCTCCACATTTGTTTGATTATTTCAAGGTACAACGGGACGAAAAAATGTTTTTGTTCAATTAAAAACAATTCAAATATTTTTAAAAAATATAATGTTAGAATGAGAGAAGAGATTGTCTCTCTCTTACAACGATGATAATCTTAGACAACCTATCATTAATCGGAAATAGCTCTTTAAAATTTTCTTAGTATAAATCCATAGAGACCTGTTCTACACATCTATTTTTTGTCAGATGAACGTGACTGTGACTATAAAAGAATTATATCACTTCTGATAAGCATAATTAAAGATCATATGTCATGTTTCAAACGAGGATAATCATATAGTGCATGCATTACAACTTTCTTATTAATCCTATCAATCATTCAACACCTTTAAAATTTTGACTTTCTATTGATTTATTGCATCTATCGATAACTCTTTTCTTTAGAAATTCTGATAATAAAATCTTTGAAAAGATAAACTTAATAACATTTTTTGCTATATCTTCCTTAGTTCTATTCTTATTTCATCACTTTATCTAGGATTTAGGAAAATTCTTAATTAAAATGAAAATATCTTTTTAACCTCGAATAGTAAAACTACACTCTAGTCTATTTTAAGATTCAAAAACAAATATATTTATGTTTATGTTGATTTGTTGTTACATTTTCTCTTCAATGTATTCTAAATATTCATCCAACAAATATAATGTTTTTTGGCGTTTATAATATCTGACACACACACACACATATCCGTTCAGATAAATGTCAATTAGACAACCTAGTAGTAATACTAATTTGACATTTATTGACAAGGATATGTGCCGTTGATGTTTTAATTCTTCAATGCATACATAAATAAGGAGACTATCCCCAATAGAGAGAAGAATTGGCTAAAATTTGCTAAGATTTTCCGTAATATAAATACCAAATAAAACACACAAATGAAAGATCGTGTCGACCTATTTCAACATTATAGCTAAATATATAATTGGGTTTAGAATCGCAAATGTTGTCCTGTCTCTCTCTATTTAGGGATGACAAAAATAACAACATCTTCATCCAATATTAGTTGTCATTTCTAGAAATAATATTTATCATCAATTATTAGATAAGAAAAAAATAGAACAGACTGGATTAGTAATTCTTAGATAAAGTTACTAGAGTCCTTCTTTAAGACAAGAGTCTAACACCAGTTATATGATATAGATACTCACTAACTAACTAACTAACTAAATAACTAACTACTGTACTTTGTCTTATTTCAAATATGGAACTGATTTACCGTGCGTGTGTCTTGAGAATGAAAAACTTTAGTAATTTAACTTATTCACTGTGAAATAAAAGAAAAAAAAAGAAGACATAAATGAAATGTTGTTCAATGCTTTTATTTAAGTGTTTATTTAAACTCAACTATCGGGAAAAAAAGAAAACGATAGAAAAGGATGTAGCTTCTTTCAGTAAGGACTATATCTCTATCACGACATCTCCTAGCATGTCAAGCACAAATTGTTTGTAAAAAAAAAAGTATAGCGATTACTAACCAAATTCGTTTTATCGATTAACTTTTAACAATAAAAGAATATATTATTTAACACAAAAACAACAATTAACATTGAATAGACGTCTTTTTTTTATTACTTCTGCTGCCGTTACTGTTCTTAGGACATTTTCTTCTTCTCTGTTGTATATAAATTCGATAAAGAGAGACGATCTTATCTCATCAAATAATCATGTACTTTTCTCTCTTTTTTTTTCTTTTTTCTTCCCTTTTATTTTTTCTTCTCTCTCTTCATCTTTGGATTCTGGCAGCAGCAGTGACAACATTTCACTTATAAAAATTTTCCACATCTCTATATTAAATCAACTATAGAAAAGAATAAGAGATACTTATGTTTATCTTTAGCTGAGACCATAGTCTATATGTTTTTCATTCACATATTATTGAAGTAATGAAGTTTGATCGATTAGATTTTCTAATAAACACCCCATATTCATAGATCCTAAACTAATCATTATCATCATATTTGTTTAATCACAATTCATGTCAACTCACCATTTTGCATTTAGGCGCAAGAAAGTGTGTAAATATTTCTTTAACCAAATAAAAGTGAAGTGGTTATTGTGTTGTAACTATTAAAAAAAAAGTTTTTTTTTTTCACGTAGATTGACAAAAATAAAGAAGACTGTCTTAGAAAAATATTAGTAAGAATTTTGCAAAAAGTTTTTTGCTTATCTTAGCTAATAAAAAAGATGATTTCAAGCTTTTTAACATTGAACTCAATACTTTACTCATTTTTAAATTTTTCCATTGTATGTAATAAATTGAAATTTTAGACAGTAATCCTATAGGAATTGAGACTTGATATCTACCTCTCATAGTAGTAGTATAAGAAAATTAAATTAGTTCATTAAATTTGTCTATTATTAAATTTCAAGAATACCATGAACACAATTTTTTTTTTTTTTTGGTTTTTTGAAACATTGCTCTATAAAATGTTATTGAGCACTCATTCAAAGAGTCTTGATAGAACAAAAAAAACGTTTTCTTCTTTTACGCTGTTCACGTTGTTTGACGTATACAAAATGAAATAGAACAATATGAAAATTGAGAGAGAGAGAAAAAAGTTGCATGAGAAACTTTTCATATATATTAATTAATTACTGAACAAAATCTTACTAAACCAAAGTAAAAATATATATGAGATATATTAAGATTAGATGAAAAAGAGTCCATCAGATTTTTGTAGATCTGTTGGAGAAACAAAAAAACAAAAAAAAAAAGGAAGAAAAACAAAAAAGTAATTTTGACAGTTATCAGACAATCGAACTTACGAGAAAAAAAAATAAATAAAAGTATGAATACTTACTACGGTAATAAGGTTAACATACACTGATGAATGAATACATAATTATTCTACTGTTACGTGATGTGTTTTTAAAAAAAAACGGAATAATAATGAATAAGAAAACTTTTGAAGATATATATCACATGAACATTTTTTTTGGATCATAATGATTCTCTAATTGAAACGTACAACAATAAATTATTCTATCTACGGAAGTCATAGAAAAATCTATGATATATGTACGTGCTGACATTCGTTCAAGAACATCAAGCTTAAAATAAATAAAAAAATGACCTCGAATTACTTGACAAAGGTTACCGATTTACAAGTAGAAAAAGATCATTTGCTTAGAAAAAACTGGCCATTTATAAATATGATCGATTTTAGGTATAAATATGATAGTTAATATGCTTACCCAAGTATAACAAGACTATTCCACAGTTGATTATGAATAATAGTCTGTCGTATCGTTTGTTAATACTTTTTTTTTGTTTTTTATACAAGAAAACTATTCTAGAAGTTATATCTTGTTTGTTTTCCGGAATAATTTTTGATTTTTGTTTTGTTTCACCCCTAAAACCATAATAATTACTGGCTGTCGTATATATAAATGACGTTATTTAAAAAACGAAAAAACAATATAGTTCATAAACCAAATTTTTTTACTTCTCACTGATGAGAGTATACTCAACGACAGAATATTTTTTTGTTTTTTTTTAAGTAAAAAACAAAAATTAAAAAAACTAATAACCAATTCTGTACTGTTTTTATATTATTGCTTTAAGCATACCATATGTTTTCGCGTTTCTTTTTTTTTTTTTTTTCTTCTCTCCTTCTAAAAATAATATAAATACAAAGCAAACTACGATAATGCTGATTTGTCTTTTTCTGGTAGAATAAACAAACACAGCATGATTTGATGTTTTTACCCGTGTAGATCAGGTTTTATACCCTCTTAATAATAATATCATTATAAACTCTACTGTACTAATGATAATAATAAATAAAGGTTTTTTATTCTTTCGTAAGGAAGAACAACACTCTTTACACGTAACAAAAACGGCAGCTAATAACAAAAGAGTGGAGTATGTATGAGAGAGAGAGAGAGAGTGTGAGAGACCGAGAGAAAAAAATAAAAGAGAATGCAATTTTCACTTGTGAGGAAAACATCTATATAAATAGTATTGATGATTGACGTTTTTTCCTCATCTGCTATTTCAATTTTAATTAGCTTGATTCATTTTTTATGGACGATAGTCTGCAAAAAACCGATTATATCCATGAACAATAAAGAAACGCTTTTTAAGATCAGATTGCAGTTTTCATAACTGAAGTAGTCTATTTTTAGTTTAAAAATATAAATTTATTTGTAAGAGTATATCTTGAATAACTCACTTGTTGTTCTTTCTTTCGCAATTTTCAAGTAGATTTGTATATTCATCCGTTTTTTTCGTTAATAGTTTTTAAAGAAATAAAAATGAATTCTTTTATGAAATACATGGATCTTTTTTAAATGAAACACAATTGCATGCAACACTTGAAGTATGTTCACTTGCTCAATACTTGTAAAAAAACAGAAAATTTAAAATTTTCAATCTGGTATCACGTGATGTTCGAAAAACATGAGAAACAGTGATAATTTCATTATCAATTCAAATGGTAAAAATCAACTGTATACTATTGTTAACACAATAAACATCATGATAAAGATAATCTTCTTATATAAACAATTATATGTAAAAATTTTACAAAAGATTAATCTTTCAGAAAAAATGACGGATTAACTAATCACAACAACATGAAGAACTTTTTAATTTTTGAAATAAATCGAAAAGAATATATACTGAATATATTCTCTCTATAGAAACAAGTTTGTAGATTGACATTTCATACAAATGAATTTGTTGTATGTGGTCATTTCTATACTCGGATCAATGGCCACCTCACCTTTTTATGTGCTAACGTTAAGAAAACCTCTCTGAAGCGACCGAAACTGCAGCTAAGGCATACTCTTAGTTACTCCCCCCTTAACTCTTTAGTTACGGAACCCGTATACATACGTTTTGAATTCTTGTGTAGATTACGGCTGTTATAACCCTTCCCTCTTGGTCAGTCCATAAGAATGTTCTCGCTTTCTCTCATGTTGCCAGTAGCACAGCGTCATCGTATAGCGTCATCGTATAGCGTCACTATGTGTGTATACATCTTCATTCTCTTGCGTTCTATGGACACGCATCGAACAAATTTTTTGTTATTTTTCAAAAAAAAAACGTAACCAGAGGGTTATAGAGTGATAAACCGCCACTTAAATCCTTGATGATCAAAGAATAGAGAAGAAAATATCTGACAGGTCTTTCATAAACCTTTTATGTCGACAGGCATTATGTGATTTTACTGGGTTTTTTGTTTTTTCTTTTTCTATGGTTGTTTTTTTTTCGAAATGTGATCGTATGATCTGTAGAAAGCTTCTGAAAACCGGAGAATATTCTTTGGATACTGAACCTGGATCAATGAATGTTCTTTTTTCAAATAAAAGTCCGAATTCGACGTTATAAGCTCCACAAGTGGAAGAAGAATGTGTGTTGGACTTAGAAAGTTTTTGTGAATTGATTGTCAGACGTCATTTATAATTAGAAGAAAAAAATTCTCTTTCTCTCTCTCGTTCTCTGTTCTTCAAAATTTGTTTTTAGTTATTTCCTATTTAATTCATTTTTCTTAAATGTATCTTTTAAAACAACTAAAGTCACAACGAAATAGACAAAAACGAAATTTGTTGCATCGGGAAAAATTGAGCTCCAATTACATGTTCTTGCCTCAAAATGTCATTTCAACCGTATCTGCTTGCTGATGAATTTGGATAATCTACTACTTTCAAAGAAAACTTTGTCGAATAGTTCAAAAATCAATTTTATTTGCTTCTGTGAAGAATATGGTCTTATTTTTAAAAATTAATGAAAAGTGTTCTCAAAAGATAGAAAAAACACAAAGCATCTTTCTAATATGATTTCGACTTCAGATTACTTTTATTGATCAAAATAGCGTAAAATGAACGAGATGTCACCACGTGTCTTGCCACGTGTATTCGATTTAAGGTCGCAGATACCTTCACTTGTATAGTGCATGTTGTGTTAGAGCAACATGCAATATCAAACGCTCTAAATTATGGCCTTGTGAATTAGATTGAAAAAAATAGATGAAAATATATATATATGAACTTAATCAAAGACCAGCCAAATACTCTAGTTATTTCATTTTTCTGTTTGCATTGCACAAAGTTAGCTGCCAATAAGTTGACGTCTTTTTTTTTGCTCAAAATTGCGTATATGTACTACGCAAAAAAAACTACAATAAAAGCGAGGAAGGTTGAGACAATCATTATTCACTAAATAACAACAGCAGTTGTGAAAGATTAATCGTAAATAAGCAATATATGTTTGCCGGCATTTATGTGATTTTGTGTTGACCACATTACCTTAGCTTCACAATGCATCTCGATTCTACCTCAATATCTACCACATCAACTAAACCAAAAATAAATACCTTTATTGCTTATTCTTATCCATTACATTCACACATTTCTGACACAGAAGGTTTGCTTATGTTCTTAGTTATTATTGTAAATCACTACGCTTCAGCGAGAATCTCAAGCGACGTGTACGTTTTCACCTTATTTTGAGCTAGAGTGCATTATGTTATAAACTGAAGAAAAAAGCCTTATCTATCACATAACAGTAAAATATTAAGAATTATAGTTTTTTTCTGGTTAAGTGAAAGTTTCGATCCTTAAGAGGTAATTTCAAGCAAGTCAACTCGTAACTCATCCAAGATTTGACTTTTCAATAAGCTATTTTGATGAGCATTAAGTATATATGAAGACCAGAGTTACTAGATGGTCCGCATTTTGCGGACAAATTCCGCTTTCTGTGGTTTGGGATTACGAAAAATAGTGAAATACTAAACCTTCAAGGAAACCAACTCGACCAGAAAATCTTAACCATTAAATGCTGTTGTAGGCGGGAAAATTTCAAATTAAATTTTATCCTGTCATACATAACTCTTGAAATTTATGACGGCTGATCAAAAACGCGCATCCACAAAAGGCCAATATCGATTCAAATTGGGATTTAAATGATGTTTTGTACTTATTTTGTGTTTCTTAAGTGGAACCACCATAAAGCGCTAGAAAAAGTTCTTTTGATACCTCTTTGCGTTTGTTGAAAAATGCGTTTCCGCTTTTTTTCCGCATTTTGGAAAAAAAATTCCGCTTTTTTGACTTTTTATTCCGCTTTCTGACCTAAGCATCTGGCAACTCTGATGAAGACACAAAGATATGGTCCCAAACACTTCTCTTCTGAAAAAGTTATAGAGTTGTTAGGCAGGTTGTATTAGTTAAGTATTAACAAATCTTTTTCCGTAATTTGAATCAAAGTTCAATCTCTATTATAGACATTTTATAGAACATATAGTAGACATTAAATACTAAAATTTATATAACATACTAAAAGTATTTTAAAAACGAATCAAAACAAAAAAGACAAATCAGACTGATCTTTGATTTTCTATTTTTTGGATGATATTTAGAGAGAAGTATATCTATACGCGATGCTTCTAAGGAAACGTCAAATATAAACTTTTGTATACAAACTAAACGACCCTTTTTTTCTATTCGTGTCTTATTACTTATTTGATTTGACCAGTGTTCTCTCCTTTTGATTTGATGCAGAAGGACCATTCTTGGAAAAACTTCGAAGGAGAATGCAATCAATTCCCTTAGTGGCATCATACTTCTGACTAAATATCATCCAAAAAATAGAAAGTCAAATATCACTCTGATTTGTTGTTATTTTTAATTAGTTTTGAAATACTTTTAGTATGTTATTTATATTTTAATATTTAATGGCAACTATATGTTCTAAAATGTTCATAATACAGAAGATCAAACTCTTATTCGAATTGCGGAAAAAGATTCGTTGACACCTAACTAATACAACCTTTCATAATAATACAAAGCGAAGTGAATTGCGTGCACTGTCTCGAAATGTGGTAACAATGTCATGCTAAAGTGTGAACAATGTTCTGTTTATTGTCATACTTTTAGCATGACATTGTTATACATTTACCGTAGCATTTCGGGACAGTGTGCAAGAAGCACAGCAGTAATAAGAAGAACTGAAAACATTTTCGAATAACAGTGCAAAAGTGATGACTGAAATGTTCTGAAACGTTGCGACTATAAGGAATTCTAGTAAGGACGAGTGTAGAAGAACAAACAACCCATTGTTACGTTGCACGTTATTCGTACTTACGGCAATTTTGACAAATCACTCTTCTGACTGTGCTATATACGCACTTTGTTTCTTCTCGCAGAGTATTGATACTGACATTCAAAAGTATTCGCTAGTGTGCAAAGGTTAACCTGCACGGATCATTAAAACGCTAAAACGTCTTCGCTTTCGAGTTGGTTCGATACATTCATATTTAACACTATGGTTGAATGTACTTACTTTTTGTTATTAAGATTGTCATCGTCATAAACATGCAGCTATTATTCTTCTTCTAGAAAGTCAACTCTAGTTTAACAGCAACGTCACAAAATGGCTCGTGGTCACCAAAAGGCTCAATCACAAGCAAGAAATCTTGAAAAACAAGCAGCACTGAAAAAATCTCAAAGTCAATTGAATTCAGCAGGTAAGCTTAAATTAACTTAAACACCTAAATTGTGTTTTGAACTATGTTTACTTTTCGTTTTAGCTGCTGGTTTAAAATTTTCATGTGCTGTTTGTAAAGTAAGTTTAAAATACGCTTTTTTCGTATTGAAGTACATATCTGTTAGAGTAAATACTAGTGTGAGAGATTCGCTAAAGAGTAATGAGGATATGAAGAAACGACAGACAATCTTTATTGTTGTATTAGATGAAGCTTATTCTTTTAAACTCTATTAATAAAATTTCTTTGAACTTCTTGTATTTTTAAGATTATAGTGAATTTTTTTTCTAAAAAGATTGGTAAATATAGTTAAAAGATAATTTATAATAGTATTCCGTTCGTCTAAATATGAAATGCACTTTCTGAAATTTTAGAGAGAAACATTTTATATGTTAAGATGCATCCTAAACCTTGTAGTTGAGCTCTTGGTACTATGTTTTCTAATTGCGGTGTTTAAATTCACTGGTCGTCTGCTCGTAAAAATGCTGAACTTCACAAGTTTATGTAAGTTCTTGTAGTCTCCAGTTTGTACATATTAAAGTAGTTGATGCTTGGTTAAATTACCAGCACCAACACTTTTTTGAACATTAGATTACCTTAAAGGTATTGCGACTTAGACTCCTCGTTATTTGTATAGTATAGTCTCTTTATAAATATTTATTTGTCGATTGAAGAAAACAATTTTCTAACGATTCTGAGCATTTTCGAATAGAAACATTTGATATTGACTGAATTACGTCAGTATTACTGAAGAAGTGATCAAAACATTATTAAAAATTGAAAGTTATTTTCAAAGTATCTTCGAATTTTCTTTATCACTAATGTTTTATTATTGTTTACGCGCACATGCCGTGTTATTGATAATTTTTGAAAATAACTTAAATTGTCAAAAGTAACTGTTGTTCGTAAAATGTTCGTATATGTTTAACTAGTAAAGATTAATCGATGAAAATATTCTGTGAGTAGATGGTGGTATCAGGAAAGGTTTTATTTGCTTCGAGTTAGAATATATGAACTCGACTAAATGACTTGAAGCTTATGTGATAAGCTTGCAGGAACTGTATTTACGCAAAATTTTGTACCTTTTAACAAACAGAGAGAAAAAATAGTTTTATTCACTACTATATTGTTTTTTTGTTTCTATTTTAGGCTCAAATGCCTGACCCGAAAACGTATCGTCAACATTTTGAAAATAAACATCCAAAAGTTGAATTACCAGACGATATTAAAAATGTTGTAGCTTAAAAAGTGTTACAAAGGTGAACGAGTATACTAACAAAGCAGTTAATCTGTGAAATAACGTTTTCTTTTGTATAAAAAAATGGAAAACTACTTCTCTATCGTTTATATGTACATATTTTTCGAATTGTACAAGGCGAAAAAGAAAAGATGTTTGTCGTTTATATGATAAATTTATATGATTACTTTTTGTCAACGTCCGCTGCAAACCTGCTAATATATTTCATTATTTTTCAGAGTGTAAAATTCTCATAGAAAAACTTTGTTAAAAAAATTTTAAAACATCTACACAGTCTTAGTGCACAGATACCATTATTAATTTTAACTGAAAATTTCATTCAAAGTTTGGAATCAGTACAATATAATTTCCAAATGGAAATAAATATAAATATACAGATATTGAATTTTCCGAATATCTCCTGGAACTCATTCTTTTCCCAGAAGATTCATTGTTTAATTCTTCACTAAAATCTGTAAAGCATTTGATAAAACTATTTAATGGTAAAAAAATAATAGAAAAAGTCTAGCAAAATATCAACAAGACAAATTTCTTATAATTTCAAGTGTGTTCTTGCTTGTCAGGCCGGAAAAAAGTCATTTAAATAAAGTTCATGAATTATAAGGTTCATTTTATGAAAAATGATTAAAAAATCGTTTTTTTTTCTATCGTTCGTTCTCCAATTACTAATGCATAACTACATTTGCATTTTAATACATAGATATAATAGAGCAATCATTTCTGTTGAAAATAAAAAACAACTCAAGCTGAAAACATAAAGTTTTGATCGAGTTATGTACGTTTTATTAGAAGCACTAAACAGCCAATATTGTTATAGAAACTGAAAACAAAAATTTTTTTGTGCATTACCTTCAGTTGGATGTTCTGTATCAAAATATAAAGCTTTTTAAGCTCTACAACATGGCTGATGAATCTATTTGATATCTTATGCGTTCAGTCAGTCAGCCAGTTTCAAAAAATTGTTTTTAAGTTTAAGAAGTTTGTCTTGTTGATGTTTTGCTACATGTTTTCTGTTATTTTTTATCATTAAACATTTTTATTAAATGCTTTACAGATTTTAATAGAGAATTGAACAGTGAACCTTTTGGGAAACGAATAAGATTCAGGAGATCTAACAGATGTGAGAAAAATGGAAAATACTAGTGGCATCCTTTTTCTGCCACACTTGTTAAATTGATGCTTAACGCATTTTAATTGAAACTAGTCTATAACTACCAACAAGAATAAGAAAAGTAAAATGTATGCTTGACCTCTGATAGTTAAAGTTGTTAATAATAGTTTAGAAGGCATTAGCATTAAGCCTTTCCAAAATATGACATTCTATTAGAGGCCTACTGAATAAGATAAAAGATGAAGATGAAGTTATGACCACATTAATTAGCGAAGTCTATAGGTAGTAAAAGATTCAACTACGAATAGGTATGTACCAATCCGATAATTCGGTTACTGAACAGTTCTGAACCGAACGTGTTCGCGCGTACAAACATGTTCGGTATGGAAACTTGATGCGATCGAACGTGTTCGGACAAAGAGTGCAATACGATAGTTTATTTTTTTTGTCATCGGAGCATCGGAGATATAGATGGAAATATCTATTGAGGAACTATTAGGACAAAGTAGTGTAAACCTTATAAAGATACATTCAAATTAGGGTTGCAACTTTCTCTCTACTTTATTTGTACAGTGAAGTAAAGCATTTTTGCATGAAAACAAAGTAAATCAATCTGCCACAGAGGCTATATCAGTAAAGTGTGCTTTACTTAAAGAGTAAATAAGATATAATGGTTTACTCAACAGTATATCTATTGAACTGCGTTAAAAAACGTTGATTCATTCATTCATTCAAAAACTTTGTGATTTTCTAATAGAAGTGATGTGCGCTAAAAGGCATTTAACTCTTCTGGGAAAACGAATGATTATTTTTGCAACAATCAGCAAATACTTTCGGTGGCTGAACGTTTCCTAGGCTGAATACGTTTGTATGAGCGAATTGTTCGCTGCCGATTAGCGAGCCCTAGTTTGGGAGTGTTGTATGTCTAATTATGAAGTGAAATAGCGTCAAGTGATTGTCATTTGCCACAATTAATTGCCGCTGTGGCTATGTGGTTAAGTTGTTTGGCACGTACCTCCAAGATACTGTGTTCGAGCCTCAGCGTCACAAGACATGGAATGACCCTGAGCAAGTCATTAATGGTTGTCTGTCTCAGATCACCCGTCCGATAGCATACTGACTGCGTTGTGACATACACCAGCGCTCGTAGCTAGTATGTGGTTAGTCAGTGTGTACTCAAGCGAGCGAGCGAAAGAACTCTGACTGAGGCTGACCTTCTGTCCAGAGCTACAGCTAGTATTAGTTGTTGGGAAGATATCGGACTTACGAAACTGTCTCCGGACAGCACCCTATACCGCAAGGTAGCCGAAAGGCGGGGTATTCTTCCTTCCTTCCCATTAATTGATTTTTATACAGAGTGACTAATAGCTTAAAAATAATTTATGAACATATAAGAGAATTATTACGTAAGGAATTACAATATAGTGAACTAAAATCTGCCTATAAAAGTGTTAAGAATGATGTTAGAGAAAAGAAAAGTGAATGAAAAAGCTGTGCAATTGTCTCAATTTATGATTTGCAATTGAGTGTAATCGATATACAGTTTGATTTTGGTTGTTTTTTATTTGCGATAGAAAAAACTTGTATGAAAAAAATATTATTTCAAATGTTATATTTCAATGATATAGTTCAGTGTCACGAACATCATATTTGACGAGAACAATCACTTATTTTTAGCGAGTTTAGTTCAATAGTAGTATCTGGGAGCCGTATCATAAAAAAACTTAAGCCAAAATTTGGACTTAAGTCAGACTTAAGTCTTCATTATGTGCACTTACGTGCTAATCTTATACACTTAAGTCTGACTTAAGTCTAGACTTTGACCTTTTTTTGTTTTTCCGTGATACGACCCCCTGCATAATTTTCAAGAAAAGTAGTCATATTCTTTTTTTTTTGAATGTAAAACATCAAATGAATTGTTATTTAATCAAATGTAAATTATATGAAAATATCTGCCATTTTATGGCTTGTTTTTGAATGCACTTTGCTAAATTGACTTTTTTTCTTCTTCTTACAAAACTTGAATATTAATTTTTAATATTTACTTTCTTTGATTTTATTAAAAAGAATTTTAATTTTTACTTTTTCTTCAAGTACTTACCATATACTTCAATTTTATAAAAAAAATTGAAAAAAAATAACAAGTTTGTGTGTACGGGTGTTTTTGAGTTTAATAGTGACCTGTAGAGTGAGAAATTAGCCAAAGTATATATTGAAACATTGAAATAGAAAATATGGTTGCTGCTACATTACAACAATTGCCACCGGCGTATATTTTACAGAGTTGGCGCCGGGAACAACCATCACAAACGGATCGTCTATTATTAGAACAAACATTTCTCATAGCACCTGATACTGCACTACCATTTTCATCGTTACGTCGACGTATTCGTGAAGTACAAGAGGAACGAGCTAAACCAAACGTTGTTGTTTACTATGATCCGTGGTCAAAAGAAGCTTTTCAAGTACAGACGCACGATAGAACAACAACAAAATTTCCCCGAAGTCATACGGTCATCTAATATGAACAATAATTAGACTGATATCAGTTGTCACTAAGAGTATTTATGTGCAAGAAAGCTTTCCTTGCGTTTTGTTGACGGTGACACTACTAACAAATATCTATGGACAGTATGAAGGAGTTCATCAAAAATCTCCTATACATTCTTCGATCAACTTTATTATTTCTCAAAGACCATCAACTGAAATATTTAGATATTCAAGTATCCGAAGACCATAGAATATTTTGAGTTTTTGTAGTTATGTACATGATAGTCTTAGCAATTAAAGTACTATAATTATAATACACTTCTTAGGTAGATGTTCACTTAGGTAGATGTTAACTTCTCAACTACATCCATCAATAGTCTCTCTTTATTCGTTTGAAGGAGTTTGAAAGAATGAGCAGTGAGAAGGATATATAACTTACTACTAGAGAGATTAGTTTCTCTTGTCTTTTTCTACCTACTGAGCGAAGGCTCTTGATTTGCTAGTTTCTGACAGCAAATATTAAAAGGGCAGTTCATGCCATAGATCAAGTCTGTATTCGTCTTTAAACGCATCAGTTTTATGAATTCGCTATTCAAAATTAATCAGTTTCTATCTTTCGAAAGACTTGTTGCATTTTTCCGTAATTTTTCGTTCTAATTTACATTTGTACTCGTTAAATGTATCCTCTTTGTAAGTATTTTTTACTAAATTTTCTCTTGGAGAATCAACCGTGGATGGTTGTTGGTATTGCTGATGTTTTTTCTTTAATTTTTGTTCATCATACATTACTTGTAAATGTTCTTGTCTCAAATGTGAACGTTTTAATATCATTGATGTTACCATTTCTAACGAAAATGGATCATTTTTATCATTATCTAACATCAATTTACCATATTTCTTCTCAATTTCATCCGTTGTTAACTCTGATGATGGATGAACAGGTAAGTTTTCATATTTTTCGTCATTATTACTACTCCTCTGGTCTGCTAAATTATATCGTACATCCTCTTTCAAATTCGTTTTTGATTTTAGTACAGATAACGTTAATTTTTCCATGAATGATAAATATTTTTAACTATTTGATTTTGTTCTTGCACACGTTATTGGTAATATCATTCAGTATAGCTAACTTTATGCGCCACTATTTAGATTGTACTAATTAGATTGAATTCAAAGCACATGATATCTCGTCTGTCATTTATTCCTGAAAATTTTTCTTCTTGCAACGTATCTCAGAGATCCTCAAATATGCTATCAGCTGACGAAACTTTGACTCTAAGGTTTGTATTAGGGATCCTAATGAATGTGCCGCTACAAATATGTTCTACAGAAATCCATGAAGCAAGCTTATTTTCAGAAACGTTTGTTGTCATATTTTCGAGAACGTCAGATTCAGCGTTTCGATATAACTTTGGCAAGATGGGGGAAAGTTTTATGGAGCAACTCTAAAAGTTTAACACAAGACTACATTGAGTGATATGTTTAACACTTTTTTCAATATAAACATCTTTTTTCAATATAAACACTTCATCGAAAAATGGCCTAGAGTGTTTCGCTAAAATGTTTTCATTTCAGAAACATGTGTTAAATGTATCACTTAATAAAGGATTTTGTAAAGATCGTGCATCTGAAAACATCGCATTAAGAAAATCTGGAAACATCGACAAATACTCGAAATATATCTCAATAACATGCATGATCCCGAACAAAAATTTTTTGAAAAGTCATTCCTTTCACATTTTGTATTCGAAGTTTGTATTCTTGAAAAATGTCAGTGAAAGTAGTTGACAGCATCTCGCAGTTGATGAAAAGCAACTTTTTTTGTTTGCTAAACTCTTCGGAACTCACTACAACAATCCTCTATCCGTTTCTACGCACTTCTAGTGTAGCACGTTGTCTTTCTAATCCAGTGTTTGTGTTCTGTTCTAGTATCTTCTAGATTAAGACCGCAACTAAAAATATTATATTACTGCAGATTCTTTAAAGAAAATCAACTTTAATTTAAAAAATAATTATTCAATAATGACAAGACTTTTTTATCCGCACTGTGCATAAAAATAATATGCGCAAACAAAAATAGAACAAAAACAACAACACTTTGCAACATTAAAAAAAACATAAGAAAAAACACAACAAAAAAACATGATTTTTTATTCTTAAAGAACAAGAAAATACTCACGTTGTGCATTAGAATTATCTATATACAGCATTGATAGTTGCATTGTTAATAAACGGTGCAATATTATGATCGTCTTAAACCCGTATATAAATTTTCGACATCGGCCGGTAAACGTGGCTTCTTTCGAAATACATTTAAAAATTTAATAAAAACATTTTTCGATGGTTTTTGTCGAATTTCATTTGTATTGGTTATAGTTTTACGTCGTTCATTATTATAGTCATTAATACGAATTTGTTTTAATATACCAGCTAATAAATCATCGACTTTATCATTAATAGCTGCCGATGTTTCGACAAATTTACAATCATATTTAAATGCCGTATGACGAGCAGCTAAAAATCAAACATAATAAAGTGTATTATATCAATTTTATCAATCTCATTGTATTTATTCTTGAAAAACTGACCGTTAGTCGTTTTTTTCGAAAGAAAATTTTCATGTAATCTAACCAAATACTCATAACACAAATATGATCCATTCTTTTTTGATAGTATACTTCGAAAATAAAACATCTACATACTTTCTTTAGGTACGACTCGCTTTCGAACTAAATCACTTTTATTTCCCACAAGGATAATTGGTATATGTCTATCTGTTTCTTTTTCTCTTTCACGTATATTTTTAATCAAATTTAATGCAATCTGAAAACTTTGACGATCCGTAATTGAATAAACAATAACATAGGCATTGCCGTCTGCACTACATTTAACCTTAAAAAAGAAATATATATTTAAAGAGAAATAAATATTCTATTGTCATTCATCTTATATTAAGTTCACAATGAGATACACACGCATCATTAGCAATAAATGAATTCTTTTTTTACAAATAGAACACGTTTTTCTATATAATAAGATATTTCTTAATGAAATATTTATCTATTGTACTGCACAATTTGGTATGTAAACACAAAATGAGTGAATGAACTAAATTTATAGAACTAGTTTTGTATATGAAACACTAATTTGTATCCATTCTTACAACACGTTTTTAGAATGTCTTAAAATAAATGTCTCTGTTAGATCGTTTTCATTCTTGGCAATAAATAAATTTGTTTTAATAATCATTTTTTAGTTGCCGAAAAGGACAAATTTTTGGAAATTTGTACTTTGGCTCTTACTAACGAGGGAACCACCCGAGATGATACTCTCCGTTTTTCTTCGTTCATACCTCAGTTGATAGAGGGCATCGACCTGACAAAAAACCTAAATGGGTTGCTGCGGAGGGCTCTTGAAGACCCGGTTTTCTGGAAAACCAGTTTTTCAGAAACTTTAAAACTAACTGAAACCTCTTCTTAATGA